GTCAGATGCCCGCTCCTCTGAGCGACTCTTTTCCCTACATCTCCATGCCCGTTTTCCCCCCAAACGGTCGCGCGTGTGCTGACTGCCCTCAACGCAGCCCCGCGAGGTCCCCCACGTTTGCATGCTAAGTGTTTCTATGAGTGCTTGTCCCGCTCTGATACCAAATGTCACAACCTTAGCTGGTTTTGCCTAAGGCGTGCGGCACCCTCGCGTGTCCGTCCGCAAAGGTCAGCCTCCCCGAAGCCTCCCATTGTCCCTTAGGACCACCAAAAGAGAGAACGGGTTAGAGAGAACGCCTCCAACGGGATCCACAAGCAAACATGTCCGAAAAACACTTCATAGACAATGCAAATTACAAACAGACTTTACAAGCTCTGAACAGTGGCACAACAAAGGGTAAAATGGTCCATTACAGACCGAAAAGCTCTCTCACGTGTCCACATGACGCAACCTTTATTTACAAGCCTAAAGAGGCCACCAACCCAACTAAAATGGGACTTATAAGCCTTCGGCCGCCCCTTTACATTCTGTACAGGGCATGAATATGCCAACAGACACGGACATATATAAGCATTACCTCAAACACCCTGTTTCGAAGTTTGTCCGTGACAGGAGGGCCCCCATCGGTTGAGAGACGACTCCAACTCCCATCACCAGCATCGATCAGCCACCGCAGACTGCGGGCAAATGCCGGAGTTTTCATTCTAAACGTTCTTCCACTTGGCCTTCAGGGTTTTCCCAGAACTAATTTACGTGATTTGACGCAAAATCGATAATTACAACTTCTCTGTTTCCTTTTGTTTCATCTGAATCAAATCTTCGTTAGACGACCCGAACAAGAACGGACGTGCCCCGCCGGTCATCCGATGACGAGGCCGTAGGCGCCTTCGCCCGGTCCTTCGGCGTCTACTTTCCCTGTGCCTCCACCCAGGTGCAACTCCGCTCGCCCAACGTCGCCGAGCTGCTCCGCCTGGTAAAGGAGCTCCTGAAGGAGATCGCTACCGAGGGTGACGAGCTCGCGCGGGCCGGCGACCGGAAAGAGCGCCCGCAGACGGAGAACCGAGCGCTGCGGGACGAAGGCGAGGGTTCGAGGTCTAAGATACGGAGCGGCGAAGAGGAAAGCCAGCGCAGTGAGAGGAGGGTAAGGGACCTCGAGACAGAGTTGGACGAGCTGAAGAAGGCGTTGTCGGAGCACCTTCGCCCGGTCCTTCGGCTTCTACTTTCCCTGCGCCTCCGCTCCTGTGCAACTCCGCTTGCCCAACGTCGCCGAGCTGCTCCGCCTGGTGGAGGAGCTCCAGGACAAGGAGTCCCTGCTCCGCATCCAGCTCCTGGAGCAGAAGCTTCTCGAGGAGAACGTCGCTATCATCCCCTTCCTCAAGGAGCAGAAGCTCCGAGAATTGCGCCTCGATTAACGAAACTTTAATTTAGGCAAAACAAAAAGAAACGAAAGAGAAAATGCAATTATCGTTTTACTGATTTGGCGTCGCAGGCAATTAGCCTGGTTTTCTACGTCGAGACATATCGTCGAACAAGTTATCTGCAAGAAAATGAGAAAAACAGAAGCCACGAGAGCCAGCTGACGCATGGTTTTCTTTCTTCCCCCACGCCAAGAAGCAGAGCAAATGCCCAGCTGCTTTCATTCTGACGGTCCCTCGCTTATCTGAAACGGAGACAGGAGCCCTATTTGTCTGTTTACGAAGGTCACGTTCCCTGCGAGTCGTCGGCATGGGCGAAGCCAAGAGGGTCCCCCAGCAATAATGAGGCTGGCTGGAAGAAATGACGCCGGCCGATGTGTCCCTTTCCGCCATTAGAGAGCAGAGAAGACGACGCAACGGCAGGAGCCTCATTCCCTCAGAATGTGAGCCAAGACGGAAAGCTCGACGGCCTCCTTCTTGTACCGCCGCACGCGACGCCATTGCTCCTCCTTTTGCTCCAACAGCTCCTCTTCTCTCGCAGGCTTGCGACGCCGAAGAAATGAGACCATGAACGTGGCTCCGTAACAGCCACAGATTGTTCTTTGATCTTTTGATTGATTCAATCATCGACGAAAAATAATATTTGTAATTATTCCTTTCATGATTTTTTTAATGCAATTTATTATATTATTCTTACTAATTAGGTTTGATGTGTGAACGAAACTATAAAATAAATATTTTTAAAATTAAATACTATATAAAAGATAAATTCTGAGGAGATATTTCACAATTACTTTTTTTTGTTATAGATTTCGACATTTTTATATAAAAATATTTTTTAAAATAATAATATTATAAGACAGTTATGAACATTGAATAATTTTGAGATCAAATTTTATGGATTATGAGTGTTGCGTAATTAAAAAACAATATATATAATATATGAAATTACTAATAAAAATAAAAAAAATCCATGAATAAAATAGATATTGCTAGAAAAATATGATATGAGCATATGGATTTATGAATACGGTAATTAATAAATTTAAAAAATTAATAAAAATTATTAATAAAATTTTAATTATTTTAAATTTAACTAGACATGTGATTTTTTTTATGAATCTCAATAATAATAAAATAGCCATATACCGATCTCAAAAAAGTTGAGGTTACAATCTTATTATTATTATTATTGTTGTTGTTGTTGGTGTTATATAATATAATATACTTTTATATTATAAATAATTTACATGGAACTGGTTGGACCGCTTGGCCCGATGACCCAACTGGGCTGGGCCGAATGGTTTGAAAGGCATGGCGGGAGAGAACCCGCGAGGTTGGGATCCTCTTCAATAGTTGCAAGGATTTCGTTGTGATCGGTCCGCTACTGTGTGAGATGATGATTGGACTCGACCCGTCAAGGGGAAGCCACGGCAGAATTGTACACGATCATTTATAAGGCTTACTGGATGGCATCAGCGCAGGTCCCCCAACGAGCGAATCGCCACGCCTTAAAAGGCGTGAGCAGACGAGGAGGAGAGAGAATCATACGAGGAGAAAGCTCGGTGGTCGCGAATCGAAAACGCCTCCGGAATTGTTGCGCCCGTCCCACCTCCAATGGCGGATCATCGCGTCGCGGTAATCATCGAGTTGATTTCCTATTTTTATCCTCTCAAGGATCAAGAATCTTGCCCCCCACGAAGAACGAGAAAGAAGGGGCTGAAGCAAAGGCCTCCAAGGATCAGAGCTATCCCTTTTTGCTCGAGAGTCGGCGATGATCGCTTGAGGTATTCCTCTCGCCTCTCTTTCTTTGTCCCCTTCTTTGATTGAATGTAGGTCGATGCTCTTGGCAAATTGTTTAGGGCTCTGAGATAATCTGAGATATCTGGTTGCTTCACTCCTCTGTACCTCGAGTTATTTCTGAGGTACACCAAGGAAAAAGGTGGGCCCAAAAAGAAAACGAAGCAAACCCTGCGTGAGCGAGATAGCTGATAATTTCTTGAGGTACTCCTCTCGCCTCTCTTTCCTAGATTGAAATGCTGAATCTAGGTCCGGATTCTTGGCAAATCCTTGAAGGGTTTTGTTACAGAATTTGTGTCTGGATCTGGAGGGTTTATCATAAATTGGTAGTTGGTTATATCGCTCCTAATACCCGGATTAATTTCTTAGGTCAATCAGAAAAAGAAAAAAAAGGTGCATTCACCGAGGCAAGGAGAAAAAGGAAGCAATCCTTGTTTGGGTGTGCAAGCTGATGGTTGCTTGACGTACACTTTCACCTCTCTTTGGTTAAAAGGTTGAATCTAGGTTCTGATTCTTGACAAATTCTTGAGGGGTTTTGGCGCAATCCTTATAACTTATTACGTTATTTTAATTAACTTCTTAGGTCAATCAGAAGAAGGTGCAAAAAAAGAAAAGGAGAAGCAATTCCTGCATAAGCAATAGAAACGATGGTTGCTTGAGGTACTCACCGCATCTCTCTTTCTTTCTCTCTCATTTTTCTTTGGTTTGAACGATTGAGTCTAGGTTTAGATCCTTGGCAAATTATGGAGGTTTTTGGCATAAACTTCGTACTGGTCACTTCGCTTCCTGTATACCTGGAGTTTTTCTTTACTTTTGTTTGTGATGAGTAGTGTGTGTATTGATTAAATAATAAAAGGGCAAAATGGGAGGCAACTTTTCAAGAAGTTATTTTGTTCTATGTTGGCGATCCATGGTAACATGTCGCCTCCTCGTAAAATGCATACCTGGCTCACCAGAGCTATTGTTATTTTTTTTATAAACCTTGTCTGACTTTCTCCAAAGTTTATTCTTAAATTGAAGGAAAATGATTCACACAATCAGGACCAGAATATGTCAATTCTGAAGTTCCTTTCCACATGCTTCCTATTCTAAGGAGCCCAGATTGTTAAATTTACTTCTAGGTACTAAAGGGAATTTTTCCTTGTAGTATTGGTTGATTGACAGTTTTTCTCCTCTAATATCTAACTGTCATTGTCTAATACTTGTCTATGTCCTTCCAACAGTTCATAACAGCCATTGAAGTGCAAATTTCCTTCTATAAGACTAAACTGTATGTCATTTGATTCCTTCAATGTCTGATATGATTTTACTGGTTTTTCTATGCTTTTAGTGCTGCAGTAGTCTGTCTTGTGCTGAATACCTTAGTTCCACAACGTGGCAACCCACAAATTTGAGCTGAGGGGGAAGTTTCTAAAACATGGCATCACTTGCTGATATTGGGATGTCTGCTGCCCTGAATATCCTATCTGCATTGATATTTCTGATTGTTTTTGCTGTACTCCGGCTTCAACCATATAATGATAGAGTATATTTTCCTAAGTGGTACCTGAAAGGGATTAGAAGCAGCCCAACACATTCAGGAAACTTTATAAAGAAGTTTGTTAACTTGGACTGCAGAACATATTTGAGATTTTTGAATTGGATGCCTGCAGCATTAAGAATGCCGGAGCCTGAATTAATCGACCATGCAGGACTGGATTCTGCCGTGTATATCAGGATCTATCTACTTGGGTGAGTTGAATAGTGTCATTGCTCCAATGTTGTTTGTTGAAGGTTTCAAGTCTTGCTAAAATGATAGCTGTAAATGGTCATATGAAGGCCACATTATCCATTTCTTACTTATGCTTTCTCTGACATGACTTTCTCTATATTGGATCCTTATTTTTTTAGTTCATAGGCACTTTTGTTTTTCATTCTACTTTGCATCTGTTTAAGATCATATGCTTCAGCTCAAATATATACTTGTTTTTAAATCCAAAAATTAACTGCATGCAGATTCTTACATTATAATGTGTGAAATAATACCCCGACTGTTGCTGTTCTTAACAACTTAGGATCATTCTCGCTACTTCTACTGTAGCTTTTGGTATATCGTCGTTCATATATCTTCCTGTGTCTATTTACTTTACAAGTTCCCGTTATTTGCTTCTCATCATATTTATTTCGAATTTTTGTTATTTCCTGCAGGTTAAAAATTTTTGCGCCTATAGCTGTGCTTGCATTTGGTGTTTTGGTTCCTGTTAATTGGACTGGTGGAACACTGGAGAACAGTAAAGATTTAACATTCAGTGATATCGATAAGCTCTCTATATCTAACATTCAACCTGGTTCAGAAAGGTTTTACCTCTCTTTCCCATGCACTTGGTTGAGGTCTAAACAACGTAATTTAGATATGTTTAATGTACTCAAACCTGCATAATTTGAAAAGTGATGCATCATGCTCAGAAACCCCAAGCTCTCTCAACATAAGTTGGACCCTTAAATCCATACCACAAATAGCCTCCAGCCAAGGGAGCTTCTGTCCATGTAGGGGCATATTTAATGTACTCAAAGTTATTCAGTTTGGGACGAGATGGACCTGCCCATTGGCTCCAAGTTATCTTGAGCTTCGTTATGCAAGGAGGCCAATGCTTCCACAAATAACCAATTTATGATGATCAGAATTGGTGGATGTGGGTCCTGTATCATGTTGTGACCCATGAGAGTAACATCGACATGTTAAATAATATATATCATGGTAGTTTAAATCCTTTGTCATATCATCATAGAATAAATATCATGCCCAAATTATATGTAAGAATTGGGAGCTTTTAAAATATTGCTTCATATGCAATATAGTCATAATCAAGGAATTGAATTTCATGTACATCATGCCCTAAATTAGGTCTACATGAAAGAGATCTAAGCCAAGGATGGAAGAGTAAGCATAAGCCCCAACCTATTTGCATGAAACTAGCTTAGAGATTATATTCAGATGCCTTGATTTGAAGAGAAATTGAACCCTATGTTGAAATTGGATCTTCTTCTCTAGCAAATAACCCTCCTGTAATGTTCTTCAATGATTTTGGAAGTGTGTTGAGAGCGATTTAGGAGAGAAATGAGAGAGATTTGGAAGAGAATGAAAGCAAGAGTGAGAGGGAGTGTGAGAGAAGGGGAAACAGGAAAAAGGGGCTGTTTAAAGGGCCCAAGGAAACCCCAATGGATCACTTTGGATTGGGTCCACTTCGGATGAGCTTGCCGTCCGGTGCAGATCATTTTAGTGCCCTGTGTTTTTAATAGAATTTCTAAGTTTTACTGTTGATTTTGTAATTTGGAATTTATTTTATTTGTTCACTTGCCGAATGTCTTTGTCTTGAACCTTGAGTCTGTAACCATGGTGAAATTGCTTTACCGCACTATTATGAGCCATGCCAACTTTTGCCATACAGATTCCAAGGACATAATAAAATTGTCTTTCGAAAAGGAGATCATAAAATTTAATGTGGAATGATTGAGCATCATTTTGCCGGTATAATTGGAATCGTAGTGCTATATGTAATGCAGTAATAGATCATATAGATGCTTCTGAAGTCAAGTTCTATTAAAGACTTGGATTCAGTGTTTTCATATCGTAAGTATAGGCTGGTATCTATTGATATACCTGCCAACAAAATCAGACCAACCATCTTAGCTAGCCAACAATGGACTCCACCAAAGCACCTGGACTTAAATTGAACCATTATCCAATAATTATTACATCAAGTAGAGCATTACTACAAATACATTCTAAAGGGTGGGCAGGCAACAGACTAAATATGTATGCATACATGACCAACTCAATCAATATGGGCTGGTATCTATTGATGTACCTGTTCATACTGGATGGTAAGCCCTATATGATTATTGTACCTGGGCACAATTTTACTGTTGGAACAAGGTTCACTAAAAACCCGACGGTAGTGCAGTAGCTGCGGTGCCATATCCTTTTTTGTTTTTGACAGCTTTTGACAACTCTTGTTTTCTTGTTTTTCCCTTTTCCATTCTTTCTCTCCTCTTTCCCTCCGTCTCTTCCTCCTTCCTGCAATATCTTTGCCACTGGCACTGCCTTCTCCACTCCACCTCTTCATCACTGTCGTCTCCTTCCTCCACCTCTGGTATGCTTTTCTTCCTCCTCTCCTCCATCAGTCTCTTTCTTTTCTCATGATCCTACTGCTTCGCCTCCCTGCTTCTCACCCTCTTTCATTCAAGTCTGAGTGGTACTGGTTCATTTTGAGTATTCGTGCATTGATAAGTACCAAAATCATATAAATTCAGTTGCCAAGCAGTATAAGTCGGTATACCAATCAGTATATCAGTACCGTACTAGTCTGACTGATTAGTAAAATTGGTATTAGACTGTGATTGAATTCCTTAGTTGGTCATGTATGCATGCATATTTACTCTGTTGCCTGCCCACCCTTTAGAATGTATTTGTAGTAGTGCTCTACTTGATGTAATAATTATTGGATAATGGTTCAATTTAAGTCCTGGTGCTTTGATGGAGTCCATTGTTGGCTAGCTAAGATGGTTGGTCTGATTTTGTTGGCAGGGTCTGACAACATCATCAATCTGAAGTTACATTTAGAAACTATACTTTAGATCCATCTTGTTGGTGTTGCTACTAGATGGGTTTAAGAGATTTGTGACTAAGAAGCACGCATCACATATTGCTATAATATGATGAACTATATTCAATATATTTAGCTGGTGATTATCGAGGATTTGGAAGTAGAACGTTCCCGTAGTGGTAATGCATTTATTTAAATGAAGATTTGTCATCAAGAAAATGTCTCTAATGCATTATTTGTCATCTTAAGTCTTGTCATCCTTGTGCTTTAGCTGTAGAAATTTCTGAACCATTTTCAAGTGTGCTTGTTCTCAAGGATGAGTTTTGCCAAAATGTTAATTTTTTTGAATTGATAAAGGTTAGAATTTAAGATTATTATCGTGAAACTTGTTGCTGGTTCTGAAATTTTTAATGTGTCTCCATGGTCCATCCCTTTTAAATCATTGTTGTTTTTCAAATTTTGAATGTTAAACTTGTCTCCTAGTTTCTCACATATTTTTGTGTAGCATTGGCATTGGTTAGATAGGACTCTTAAACTTATCATTTTTTATTCTCTAATATATTGCCTTTGTAGCATTGTGCATATGTTTTTTAGGCAAAGTTGTGCAACTGCACTGGTAGTATCCCTTCCTATCTGCATAGAGAACCGAATCCACCATAGTGATACATAACATGTTTTTCTTGTCAGGTTCTGGGTGCATTTGGCAATGGCCTATGTTTTTACACTTTGGACATATTGTGTATTGTACACTGAATATAAGAAAATAGCATCGATGAGGTTGCATTTTTTGGCTTCTGCAAATAGACGACCAGATCAATTTACTGTGAGTTTTTCTAAAAGCAGCTCTTTATTCTGAAAAGTTCTTTGTATGTGTACGTGCCTGATATTGATGTGTGCAAGAAGATATTTCTTGATCATGATGCTCATTTTTTTAGATTCAGTGTTAGTGTAAATGCATCCAGAAATCATAATTTTGTAAATGGTTCTTTTTATACTCTATATCTTCTTATATGGCCAAGAAAAACAAACAAGGCTGAGTCCCATAATTGTACCCCATAAGTATAAAGGATCACAAACAAGGTCGAGTCCCATAATTGTACCCTGTAAGTATGCTTTGTGATTTATGGTTCAATAATTTGTACAGATTCTTTGCACATACGAGGAAGTTTGCAGTGATGAAAGAAAAAATCAAAGAAGGTTGAGAATCCAATTCAGTATCACCTTTGTCTTAGTTCATATATGCCCTCAAGGTCACTTATCACTTCTAAACTATGCTGGAAAAAGTGAAACATACGTCTGTGTTCTACGATCATAGTCCATGATTTAGCCAAATTAATAGTTGAAAAAAAAAGTTGCAAGATGCTTACATATATTAATGATTATATGTCACATAAAAAAATAAAAAAATATTAGAATTGGATGGTCCATTCATCGTGGCTATATGATTGTTTCTCTTTGACAAATTAGATGAGACTTCAAAGTTCCCACATGTACCTTATCATATTTCCTACAGTCAAAACTGTTAAAGGCTTTCAACATACTTGCGCTATTAAATTGGCAAGGTAGTTGCTACTTGCTAGTATCATGCCTCAGAAAATACATGTACTTGAGGCTTAATAACATATGCATATAACTTACAAGAATGAACAACTGATGACAAAATTATATACATGAATTTCAACGTTCTTCCTGGATTTACAACTCAATATGTATAAGCAAACTCAGATGGACCTTCATTAGCAATCAGCTAATCAAAGTGCAATGTGCAAACACAAGGCATAGATCTTCAAATTATTATATTCCAATTTGGCTAAAAGATGTATTTATAGTAAGTGACACAGTAACTAGGAACAGTTCATATTGTTTGTAAGTCCAATTATAGGCATATGGTATAAACTTATACTGCTTCGCGTCAGTTATTGTGATAGTATGTCATGTATCAGAAACTCTGATGCCACTATGATGTAGGACTGTGAATGTGAAGGTTTTTCAGATGTTTAAGTCAATTAGAAGGTAAGTATTGAATGCTATGACTTCAGATGTTTTGATGCTTCTTATGGTCTTTAGGTGATCTAGATACCAATATGAGAACTTATATAATGGTTAGTGATTTTCCATTGTCCACACCAAGGTATGCAATTTCGAATAATACTGTCCGGTATGGGCGGTACGTACTGGTCCGTCAGTTTACTAGTACACGGACCGCCCGTTACCGGGCGAAACGAAAAAAAATATAAAAAATTATATATATATATATTAATATATATAAATATTTTATAACAGGCGACGTCGCGTCACCTTTTTCGGTGACGTCGCCGAGGCGATGCAACGTCGCTTTTTTCGACGACGTCGCCTTATATATACATATACATATACATATACATATACATACATATACATATATACCGCTCGGTATACAGTTTCGTACCGTACTGAGCGAACGTTGAAACTCTGGTACGGTACGAAATTGTATACCTTGATCCACACTGATTTGTAGCAAATAATATTTCTGAAAATTCAGAATTCATCAATCAGTGATAAACGAAAGCAAGGTTTTTAAGACTAGGAGAGATCGATGTATAGGGCTGGGATCCAAATTCACTCCAATTAGTGTCCCATGCAAGTCCTCTCTTGTAGGGAAATTGATGTCACACCACATATGGAAAGAGTTCGACTGTCGCATTAGTCGATTGGTACATCAAACTTTAGAGTAAATGTTCACTGAAAAAAAAAATCTTTAAATACTTCAAAATTTTTACAACTTACTTGGATTTGATTTGTTAGATATAAGTGTTCTACCTCTTTGATTTATAACCTAAAATCTTACAATCCCCCACTTTATTCATGTCTCCAACCTGCTTATACTATTTCATATTAACAAGATTCCCCAAGGAGAAAATGATCACAATTATGTCAATTATTTTTCTGTTATTGGAGGCAACAGGTTCAAGCCCACGAGAAGTGGCAATGTCCCAACTAATTGTGAAATTTAGTGAGGATGAAAATTGTGTCATACTTGGCATACCTAGAAAATCAAATTATACGATTACTAACTAATTAGAGAAACTATCACCTATTTTTTCTATATTAGACTTCACTTTGTAAAATTATATCTTCAAAAGTTTTCTAAAATCCAAGGAGATCATCACAATTCTTTCAGATCATTTGAAATGCTTGTAGAATCATATACTCTTCAGAACAGAATCGCACAAGACTTTTGCTTGTGATTAAATGTGCTAGATACATCGTTTACTAAGAGGATTGCTTCCTAAGAACTTTCTGAGGCAAATTGTTTCCAGGCATTCATTTTAATATTTTCTTAAAAAATCATATCTATTGTACAATCTTCAACAGACAGCAATGCAGCAGCCACCTTAGGTATGTTGCTTATTAATGATTTAAACTAATTTTTTTGGTTTTTAAAACCGGTTGTTGGCTGCCTTGATATTCTCAGTGCTGTAGGCAATAATTAGAAACTCTCTTTTACAAACAAATGTAGCAAAAAATTATAAATAAGTTGGATGCACGGAAGTTACTACATATCTTGTTACAGCTTTGTTTGCGAAATGCTAGTGTTGATTTCTCAAATCTGCTATCTTCTATAGGCTCCAAATGAGATAACCTGATCTATGATGCATTGGACAGTTGCATTCCAGATATAACCTTTACAGCTTCTAGTTCTAAAAGTATCATTGTTCTATTTAGGTTCTTGTGAGAAATGTTCCACCTGATCCTGATGAATCAGTGAGTGAGCATGTTGGCCATTTTTTTTCTGTGAATCATCACGATCATTATCTCACACACCAGGTCAGTATCTGTCTGATTTGAACACTGTAGTGCAGTTAAGTTGAATATGTTACTATCACTGGAAATATGCTGCCTGATCCTGATAATTTGTATAACATTATCTATTCGCTGGTTCTGTGAATTTGTATATATCCGAAATAATTCAAGATAAAAGACTCCCAATTATAAGGCTTCAATATATATTGGTTCTTTTAAGTTTTTAAGTAAGCTTTCTACAATTATGGCATATCCCCATGGTGGTTTGGCTCTCATAAGCATTGTCAATTTAGTGTCGTGTTGGCACACCATTTGTATAATACATGTCAAGCACTGATATCATGTTAGCATCATACATATTGGTCCAAACAAATTATTATGGTTTGCATATGCAATCATTTTATATATTAGGATGCAACTTTCAGGCATACCTTGGACCTGATAGCTCCATCATTTGTCCTAGTAAAAAGGGACAGCCTAATGCATCTAGGAAGTACATGGTGAAGGAATATCTTGTGGATGACAACAATTTCTTTGGGCAGTAACCACAATAAGTTTAAAACAGGAAAGGAAATGTAACATACACTAGCAAATCTCACTCTCTTTCTCTCTCTCGCTCTCTCTGAGGCAAAGACATAAGACTTCTGTTTTATTTCATTAAAGAAATAAAATAGGTAAATAGAAGAAGGCAAGAACAAAGAGACGAAGAGGAAAACAAAAGAGAACTTTTACACACTAACAATGAGGAAGGAGGAAAGTTCCAACAAATATATAAAATAAAGCTTAGTTCTTATAGGAATGGTAGGTGTAAAGAAGAAAACTCTCTCTTTCTGAGGCAAAAACATAAGACTTCTGTTTCATTTCACCAAAAAAACAAAATAGGTAAAATAGAAAAAAAGTAAGAACAAAGATATAAAGAGGAAAACAAAAGAGAATCTTTACACCCTAACAAAGAGAAAGGAAGAAAGTTCCAACAAAATTGTAAAATAAAACTTAGTTCTTATAGGAATGGTTGGTGTAAAGAAGAAAACTGTATGACTATAGTACCAAGAACCAAGGTTTAGAATAGCGGTTGAACTGGTTGATACGAATCAGTATATATAGATCCAACAGGTGATGGACTGCATTTTCATCCTGTTTGGTTTGGTATGGACTTGTAAGGCTCCTTTGCACCAAGCATTAAGCAGATGAATACCAAGTTTTATCAGCCAATACTATACCATTTGACAAAGGTTGTCTTTTCTTTTTTTTTTCTTTTTTCTTACTCTCGAGCGTGCTCTCTCTTTCTTTTTCCTTTTCCCTTTCTCTCACATTCTCTCTCTACCCTCGCTGCCTCTTTGTTCGGTTTGTCATCTCCTATCGCCTCGCTGCCTCCTCCCACAATGTAGTTGACTCCTCTAAAGCTGCATCGCTGCCTCCTCCTTCACCCTGTTGCATTGCTGTCGCCTCATCTTTGTTCAGTTTGTCATCTCCTACTATTGGTATGCCTCTTCCTTATATTCCTCCTCCACTAATCGTCCTTGGCTTCCTCCACCTTATCACCCTCTGCTAATCCTTCACTTCCCCTTTCTCTTCCTTTCCCCTCGTCTTTCTCTTTTTCTCTCTGTACAGAGTAGTACCATCTCATACGGAGTGTTGGCATATTGATTTGTATCAGTATCATAACGATTTGATAGGCGACTTGTATATGCACTGGTCAAGATTTTAGATGTGAGAACATCACCTTCCTGGAAGCTCCATGATGTACAATAGAAAAAAGTAAGAACAAAAAGATGAAAAGATGCATAGTTTACACTTGACAAAGAGAAAGGAGGAAAGTCTCAACAAAATTATAAGACAAAGCTTGATTGCTTGTGGAATGGGGAATAGTTCCTTGAGATCTATTCCCTGGAATGGGGAAAGTCTCAACAAAATTATAAGACAAATAACAGTGGCTCTAATTGGGATCTGTCATACTCAGATATTTAGATTAGCTAAACTCCAAGGGCATGGGTGAAACTGGGCTGCACTCTGTTTGTCTAAATCTGTTTCCATGTCTGGATGAAGATGGATTAGTTCCATAAATGTATGCCCATTACACATTAATGTTGGTATCTATTAAGTGAACTCAAAATTTTCTGGATTTAGGCACTGATATAGGTTGAATTTCTTACCTATTGGGATACATAAATAGCTGAATGTGTAAAAAGCATTAGATATATTTATATTATCCTAACAGAAGTAACTATATGACTGATTTTGAACGTTGTGACCATTGCCTACTCGTCTAAAGCTTAAACCGGTATATGAAAGGAAATATTCTTTCTCTCAATTGTCCACAACGGCTCAAGTACAAGACAAGGAACGTAATTAAATAGGGAGGAGAGCATGTAAACTTGAACATAGGAACTTTTGGTCTGATACCATGTTGAAGTCAAGGGAAAATTGATTTTTGGAGAGAAGGTTGTGAGCTCAACAGACTTTCTCGTGACCTAAATGCTTTATTTACAATAGATTGACAGATCGAGAAGTCATACCTTATAGATAGGTATAGGTATACATACCACAACACTGATCATTATCTGATATATTGCGAGCGTTATGCATTGTTAAGAATTTTGCATATGATTATTCTCTACATAAGCGAATATAACTGTGGCTTATTGTAAACTTTTCAAAAGTAGAGATTAGTTGCCTAGAGAGTTGACATTCATGTTCATTTGGCATTTGTGGTCAATTGCAATTTAATTAATTTCTAGAAAGAAATTTATTCTCTAAAACTCAAATAATCTACTTTTCGTTATCTAGTGATATCGGAAACATGTTTTACAGCTAAAATTATTGTTTGGTCTATGAATCGGGACATAATGTTTGTTTTAATGCCCAGAAAAGATCCATGTAGTTAACACCAAATAGGACATTACAACTTGTTGTAATCATTAGTTTTTTGGTCTTAACTATTACCATTATTGTTGTCATAATGGCTGGAATACCTGCTTTGTTTAACTTTTTTCTTTCTATTTCTGGCAGTGAAATATTTATGTTGGATGCAATGCTTTTCATAACTTATCTAGTTTATCTTTACTGCATCTTTTTATTTTTGGCAGGTTGTATATAATGCTAATAATCTCGCAAAATTGGTTGAGAAAAGAAAAGGCTTAGAAAACTGGTTTATCTACTACGAAAACAAGTACAATCGAAATACTAACATCAGGCCAACTACAAAGGTACTTATGCTATTGACATGTACATCCTGTCTAATTTACTTGACAATCATTGACAGTTTGGTGTATAAACCCATTACTTTTATTCATAGACAGGACTTTTTGGTCTGTTGGGAAAGAGTGTGGATGCCATTGACTACTATAAGGCTGCGATAGAACAGCTACTGAAAGAAGTAAGCATTTAGAGGCATCTAGAATTTTAGATAGGATTACACTTGATCATGATATGGTCTCTTGTTATGACATTTATGGATCAACTGTGCTCCTTGTGGTGTTCAAAGTCATGTTACTTGTTTTTATTTATTAGGTTATGTTTACCTTCATAAGCCTCTCTCGGAAATAATGTGTATAACAAGTAGTGAAGAACATAATAAAGTTATGTTTGGAAAACATATACATGCAAATCAAGGGTCGTAATTTCATACCGTATCGAAGTATAGAGTTCAGCTCGATATGATACGGTACGAGTATATCGAGCGGTACATTCTGGCGTACTTGGTGTATATATCAATGATTGAAATATCGTACCATACCGAAGTTTCGACTGTCTCTCGGTACGGCACGATACAGTATACCGAGCGATATACCGTTCTATATATATATATATATATATATAAATCGGTGATGTCACCAAAATTTATATATATATTTTTTATTTATAAATAATATATATATATATATATATTAATAAAAAAAGTACCGTTCGGTAGCGAGCAGTCCGTGTATCGGTTTACTGTCGGACCGGTACGTATCGCCCGTACCGGGCAGTATCATTCGAAACTGTATACCTTGGTATAATAATAATAATAATAATAATAATGATAATAAAGTATAAAAATAAAAGTTAAAAAATAAAAGAGGGGCAACGTTGCTGAGCATTTCTTCTCCCTACGTGGGGAGAAGAAAACCTCAAAGCCTCGGCGACATTGTCGAGGTTTCTTCTCCCCACACAAATTAGGAGAAGTCGTCGACGACGCCAAGGTCTCCCTGCAAAGCCTCGGCAACGTCGTCAAGGTTTCTTATCCCCGCACGGATTAGGAGAAGTTGTCGACGATACTGAGGCCTCGTCGCCTCAGATGAGGAGGAGGTGACATCTCATTTGCGGCGTTCGACGAGGGAGGGCGACGACGGATTGAGATCGTCGAGGGAGAGTGGTGCCGGATCTCCAGGTTCTCCCTTTTCTTCTCCCTCTTCTTCCTTCTCCCTCAGCTAATACTACCCAGTAGCGGGCGACGACGGTCGAAATCGACCATCATCGATCGATTTCAGGTGGTAACGGGGCGGAAACAGCCCCAATCGACGGTACCGCCGGGTACGGGCGTTATCATTCGAAATTAAAAACCCTGTTTGAAATGACTTTGTATGTTCATATAGAATTGAGCCAATTATCCCACATGTAGAGTTCTAAAAGTTTATTTCATATATTAGATTCTTAGTCTTAGTTCTATTTAATCTAAAAACCTTTAGTTTTAAATTTTGTCTTCACAACACAAGTTTATACTAAATCCCAACTAAACTTTTAATTAAATAATTTTGTTAGCAAAGAGCATATACCATGTTTTTTTGTGTATAACTAGTATGTTCCTTAGTCACCAATGTGAAAAGATGAAGGCTTAAAGGTTGATTCTTGATTCTTAATATAACCCTATATTCTAAGAAAGCTTGATAGACACTCCTATAATCCTGAGACTAATAATTATTTTATGATACATATATATTGTCACATTAATAAATACTAGATACTAAAAAAAAATCTCATAGAATTCTTTCTAAATTCTAGATACTCATTTTCTTTCTGAATTCAACCATGATAAATCTCATAGATTTTTGTCGTAGGTTATCTCAAGTTAATGAAATCATATGCAAATCTTTCTTCTTATCTTTATCTTTTTCAATAATTATACAGTGATTAAATAATATCTATAATAATCTTGTGGTCATGAAAAACCAAGTTTTTTTCTTGGAAATACTTGGTTCACATGACTTGTTAGTATACTTACTCTTTTCCAAATTGTTTCATGGTACCACTAATTAGTTTAATCCCCCTACAATTAGAAAAGCTTTTAATATCTCCCTTATTTCAAAAATGGATACTAAAAAACACTTCATTCATTTGACATCTTTTCATTCTCAAAACTTTGGTAAATAAACTTAGTTAATCAAACTACCTTTAAATCCCCTGAACTCGGATACTAAAACACACTTCATTCATTTGACATCTTTTCATTCTCAAAATTTTGGTAAATAAACTTGGTTAATCAAACTTCCTTTAAATCCCCTGAACTCTTCCAAATTAGATATGAATACCATGAGGTCATACATTATTGTAAATCTTCTTTCTGTTTCAGGCTTCTTTTACCTTATTTGTTCTAATTTTATCAATAAATATATTTTTAAACTTTCAATTGTTGTCTATCCCAAGGCAAATATATTATAGAACAATCATTAAATAATTTATAAAAAAATAAATCCTCCATATTTTCCTAATTCCATATTATTAACCAACACTTCTTGTCTTGATCCTATTCTTAGCACATAGCTTACCATAAAAACTATCCTTATCATGTACTTATAACTATTTTGCCTCTTAGTCCTTTTCTTTTACCTCTTTTTAATAATTATATATCTTCCAAATTTGTATTCATTTGTACAAGTTTACCAATTTTTAAAATATGGATCCTTTTTTCTAGTGAGGGCCTTTTAAACTTGTGTAAATGGCTACCAACTGAAGTCAGTCCCCTCTCTTCAGATTCTCTGTGAATCTTTTTGTCATACTCCTAATCTTAGTAGCTATTGAAGTCCATATGATATTAGATTATCTCCAACCAAAATTTATGCCTCTTCTTTTTCTAATTTACTTTTAGAAAATCTTATATGACTGACTTGAAGTTCTATCATCTAACTTTTGTAAAAGTACCTGCTATGGTTTTCCCCTTCCATTTCTTAAAACATACGTCGAATAACATCAATCTATGTTGATCAGTCAAGTTATATCCAGATATAACTTTTTGATCTTTACATTACCAATCTAGCGAGGAAGAAGAATCTCTGCCTATAGGTATTGTGACTTATGAGTTATGTCCACTCTTATTCATCTCTTTTCTTGAAGTTAGTATTGATAATTACAAGGGCATAAAAAGTAGCAAAATTTTAAATCGTACTGCCTTCTTCATACTTTCTAGTTATTCAAAGCCCTCATGTACTCTTTAAATTCTTGTATATTTTTATCTCCTATATGACTATTTGAATCCCCTACACAGATAAATTTTCGATTAGAATTCCTTGAACAATTTAAAGTTTCATTCGATTAGAATTCCCCTACACAGATAAATTTTTACCCACATAGTTTCCCACAAATGAATTATGTTAATTGTCCTCCTTATCATCATAGATATGTAGCTACCAATTGTCATCCCTTTCTTGGAAGTTCTCTTATAATCCATGTTGCTCGCCTAATCTTATGATCCTAGACTTACTCGATGCAAGAACCATTGCTTATTTTGCACCATATCCCGGTGTCGATTTTATGGTCCATTCTGAGTGACATCCTAGCTATTCTTTGCATTTCTGAGGCACGTGAATGGTGAAAATGTCATGATTCAAGTCACTTCTAAGTGACGACTTAACATCAAAACGAAAACATTTGAGATCCATGCTCATGAGATTTGATTAGGTCTTATGTTAACTCTCAATGGCCTAATGCAACACTCCAATTTTCATCCAGTTTTGTGATAGAAACAAATGGTGCTAGATAGAAAGAATAATAAACCATTATCCTCTTTTAGCCCATCTATTAGTTGTCTCTGACATAATCAGCCTTTAGCTCCAACACCAAGGATCCCATGTCCTATCACCAGGATGCTCTCTTCCTAATGGTTCCCCTTTCCTCAAAATGTCCTATCATGAATTGTTTGGCTAAAACACTGAGGTTTGCCTTGTAGACATTATACCAGACAAAGATGCATAGCTTTATTGCCAGGTTTGAATGTCTCCTTGCTTGCTATTCATTGACGTAATTGGGAGTATACGTCTCAAACTGTTAATTGGAACTTCTGAAGACCTTGCTTCAAATATTTGTGAGTGGAAAGGCATGAGAGAAGCTCCAAGCCATTCCCACTTCTATGGTTTAGAATTTTAGTGTTGTTGTCAATTCATATCCAATTTGTATAAACATGAAGCAAATATAGCTGTTCAATACTCCAATCTTTGTAAGGTCTTCATGAATAACTGACTAGGAAGCAACATTTCTGTACCTGTTCAGATGCGCTGATCAAATCAATTATTTTATGCTCTTCAATATTGAATGGAATCTTTCAAAAATATGAAGTTCTTTTCTCATAATGGTTACCTTTATTCTATGTAGGAAGCATCAGAACGAGAAAGGATAATTAGTGATCCTAATGCTATAATGCCAGCAGCTTTTGTGTCATTTAAAACCCGATGGGGTGCAGCTGTTTGTGCCCAAACACAGCAATCAAGTAATCCAACTTTGTGGTTAACAGATTGGGCTCCTGAGCCCCGTGATGTATATTGGCCCAATCTTGCTATCCCCTTTGTTGAGCTTACAATTCGGAGGTTAATTATGGCTGTTGCAATTTTCTTTCTTACCTTTTTCTTTATGATCCCGATTGCATTTGTTCAATCTCTAGCCAATATTGAGGGATTCGAGAAGGTCTTTCCTCTCTTAAGGTCTCTAATAGAAACGTAAGTGTTTCTTATTTTGTTCTTGCAAATGCTTTTCTTGTTATGGGAAATATTGATATTTTGTATTTGACCAATATGGTTGATTCAGAACACCATCTAACAGAGTATGGCTTTAGGTTTCTGAAAAATAATATGCCTTTTTGAAAATTGATGAGGAAGTGATCGAGTGAATTCACCTAATAGTTACGGCATGGATACTTAAAATATTAGGCATGGAGTCAATCATAAATCAGTTTATAGTCATCAAAATGTCTGAACCTGAATTGTTGAATATTATGTGCAGGAATCTAATTAAGTCATTCATACAAGGTTTTCTACCAGGAATTGCATTAAAGGTCTTCCTTATTCTTCTTCCAACAATACTCATGACAATGTCCAAGATAGAGGGTCACACATCCTTATCAACATTGGACAGGAGATCTGCTTCTAAGTACTATCTTTTTCTTCTGGTTAATGTATTTCTTGGGAGTGTTATTACAGGAACAGCATTTCAACAACTAAATAGTTTCATTCACGAATCTGCTAACACGTATGTGTTTTTATTTCTAAGTTCTTGATTAATGCATATTTTTACTAGTTACTTGGATCACTAGAGAATTGTTTGGATCATTTCTTTTGGGTATTTACATAATTTGTTTACGAAGAAAACAACACTTTTCATTTGGATATGCAACCAGTGGGTGTATGTTTTTCTTTATATTCCTTTCTTTCCCATAATGTAAACCCTCTTAAAGAAACAAGACAACTGTGATAAAGCATTATTTTGATATACAAAAGGTTTACACGTCCCTTTAACTTGTCTGGAAGACATCGATAGCAGTTGCTGGTCCTTTGTTTAATGATATTGATTCATGCTCTAGTTTTCCACTAGCAACGTCACTTTGTCCTCGGAGCCTCCCATGGCAGCAAGTTGTGCCCGTGATATCATGTCCCATAAGGCATAAACTATTCTTTAGCTGAATGAAACATGCTAATGATATTTCTCGATGCAAGGGCTTATGGCATTCTTTCAGTGTAATCTACTTTTCAAGAATTGCAGTGTCACAGTATACCACCTGTATTAGGTGCTATGTACTTGTCCAACTGCCAACCATCACATGGACCATGCTTCTTAGAGTGGTATACAGTAAACTAGATCAAAAGAATTAAAATAGTGCTTAGTTTTGGTCAAATTGCAATCAGTTTTGATTTAAACCACTTAACATAATTGAAACACATGAACTGAAATTGCAAGTGAACCTTTGAAAATTGAATCCTTTGAAACCGTCAAAATCGCTTGCTCAGGCTTTGACCCTCTCTTCCACTGAATCTAATTGCTTATCGGTACTCACTGGTCAACAGTGACCACACGATGGGAAGAAGATGAAGAAGAGAAGGAGAAGGTTTTCCTTCTTCATATTTTCCTTTTTATTAGTACCAGATAGTACTGATGGTGCTGGCAAGCTGGACTGGTCCAAGAGGTGAGCTGCATTATCAATTGAAATCCTTAGTCAACTAAGGACCTTAGGACTTCAGTAATTGGGGTAGTAGATAATAAGAAGGATCTGTAGCAGAAAGCAAATCCTCCACCCAGTCTCATACTCAAGAAAGCCTTTCACTTTAGTGGCATTAGAAAAGGCCTAACATAAAGAGTAAGAAAAACAAACTGAAACTAAGAGGGAGAGGGGAAATTAATTGACAATTTCTGTATTCATAGTAAATTAATTGGCATTAGAAAACGCCAGTTTGATGATTTCCTTCCAGGAAATTTTATGTATTCATAGTAAAGATATTTTCATATACTATGTAGTGGAAAATGGATTGAGCATAGTTAAAAATATCAAGCATAGGTGGGAATCAAGACAATCGTTGAAGTTGTACATTACTGAATTGCGCCTAACCTGCATTCAACATTTATTGGAAAAACATTTCATTGGTTGACAGATACTCATGAAACACAGAATGATTGTAGAAAACCTTTAATAAATTCCTTCTCATTTGTTAGTTCTCTCTTGTGGGAATTGATTCCACATAAAAGTCCTGGTTGCATTGCTGTAAAATCTTGATGTACAATTTTCTGATTGAAGTGTAAATAATGAAGCAAGACAGCAAATTTGAGTAGGATGTCAAGGATTAGAAGGCATATATGTTGATTCTATGAACACAATTAGAATAAAACAACAAACAAATATTCGTTATGGAGTGGCTTATGACTTCTGATTAAGTAGATCAAGCCAGTAAGATAGTGAACAAATATTTTTTCTATTTGTAGTTTCTTAGCAAACAAATAACTGGCGCATACATTAGTATATCAAGCCAGTAAGATAGTGACCATACTTGGAAAGTATGTTTTCATCTTTTCTGAAGATCAAGTATCTCTTAAGTACCATTGCAAAACAATTTCTTGTTTATCTTGTGGGATGTTAAATGTTCCATTTTGTGCAGAATTCCTGTAACTGTTGGGATGTCTATTCCAATGAAAGCAACATTTTTCATCACCTATATAATGGTTGATGGATGGTCAGGTATTGCTGCCGAAATACTTAGACTGAAACCATTGATCATTTTCCATCTGAAGAATACATTTTTAGTCAAGACTGAACAAGATCGTGAGCAAGCTATGGATCCTGGCAGTTTAGAGTTTGCATCCTCAGAACCAAGAATACAACTATATTTCTTGCTTGGATTTGTATATTATGTTATCACCCCAATTTTTCTTCCATTCCTACTCATCTTCTTCGGCCTGTCATATGTTGTGTTCCGCCATCAGGTACTCTGGTTATTAAGTTTTATTTTTCAATGGTATCTTATACTTTTTAAGAACTTTGCGTGGCGTTGTTCCTGTAGGACTCATTTCATAATAGCTTTTCATTATTCGTAGTTTGGAGTTTAGGTTACAGACTAGCTGTGCACGGAATTAAGGTGAGTATAAATTTTGCAAAGCAACTTTTACACGTTTTATATTGATGTTGATATAAAAATCAATGAGAAAGAGTGTAGATATCAATGAGGAAAAGTGTGTGCAGTGGAACAAGGGAACAATTGGATAGAGTGCAAGAAAAGTTGCTTTTGTCATGGTAATATGATGTTTTGACTTCTAACTTGTTTTGTTGTTTTTTACTCAATCCTATCATCAATCAGTTTTACAAATGTAGATATCTCCAACTGTCTTTCCACTAGTTTTACCAATATAGAGTATAAAGCAGAACCAAAAGCTGATGTTTCATAGGTCTTTCTTTTAACATGCATGTCGCTGTTTAATGTTTAGTTGCTTGTACCTTTTAGAAAATGCCAACAAAATATATGTGCACACAGGTCTGTTTTATTTGTCCCTGCGAGGTGAATGTTCCGTAGAGAGAGAGCGAGAGAAGCAGAAAGAAAATGAAAGAAGATTCCCTACAGCAAGATTGTCGTTTACCCCGTTAAGGGTTTATGCAAATATCTGGGAATTTAGAGAACATTAATGTTTGCTCCAGGATATCTTTTAACTGCAAACAAGCAAGATCTTCCTCATTATTGGACTTTTAGGCATGGAGATAATACAACTAGGGATTTGGTTTCCATGGATTGGAACTTTGCTACAACTTTGGTACAACAATATCACATTAATAAATTGGTCTTTGAAGTCTTTGAAGATTTCTGTAGAATCTTCTCATTTTTTGAGCTATACTCTATAGATGGAAAATGTCTTGGGTGATGAATAGTACATGTATTTTTTGATACATAAGGTTCTTCAACATAGATAGATGTGCTACAAGATTAATCTTACGCATATCGGCATGTAAAAATATAAGTATATTTTTCCCCAGTTGGACCTATTATTTTTTTATTCTTTTGAATAAAATGCATTTGAAATGCATGAATCTTTTATCAGTCATTTTTTATGAATGCTAATCCATTCCTTTTTTGCTTTGAACTTCAAATGTTTGATGACCTCTAATGTTTGTTGGTTATAGATCATAAATGTATACACTCAAGAATATGAAAGTGCTGCTGCATTCTGGCCAGATGTCATTAGACGGGTGATTATTGCAATGATAATCTCACAACTTTTGCTTATGGGCTTGATGAGTACTAAACATGGTTCTCTTACTGTTCCTATACTTGTTCTTCCTTTGTTGACAATATGGTTTCACATATACTGCAAGAGTCGATTCGAACCAGCATTTATCAAGTTTCCCCTGCAGGTTTGTTTCAGAGATAGCAACTTTGATCTCTCATTTATCTGGATATGAATTTTCTCAATGCTAATGATCTAGATTTCATATAGTGCTTTGAATCCAAGACTTATATAGATGAACAAGTAGACGCAGTTTTTATTAATGGTTGTTTGTTTTGGATGAAATATATGTATGTACATAGGCTTTGGATTCATGAGATATTATCCCTTTGCAGGATGCAATGGTAAAGGACACGCTAGAACGAGCAACAGAGCCACACCTAAATTTGAGAGCTTACCTTCAAGATGCATATGTCCACCCGGATTTTCACAGCGAAGATGTGGAGCATCCAATGATTATCGAGGAAGAAAACAATACGCTTGTCCCGACCATACGAACCTCCCGAAGGAGTACTCCTGGGGAAAGCAAATATAACTCTGAAGTTGGTTCTGAATGTGAGTACTAAGTCAACTTTGTATTCTTTGTCTCTTGATCCTTATCATTGTGAATGTCTTGTAAGGTCTTGTTGATACCTCCTCTCTGTGAGCTTCAGGCGTTCTTATACCCGCCTTACTTATGGGGTAAGATAACAACATTACCAGATACCTAAGTTTGGAACTCGTTGTTGGATATAACATGCTCATACTTAACCAGCTTTAGGAAATGCTAATATCTGCTCTACGGCGGTAGCTCAGGCCAAGTCAGTAGGAATCTTATATTGCGATGTCTTCATGAAGAATTCGTAAGACATGTCTTTTTTATTTTTTATTTATTTTTTTAAGATAAGACTGCATCCACTTGATGAATTGCGAAGTCGTCCACCTATTGACACTATTTCTTTTTAGCTGCTGCTTGTTGTTGAGATGCTTTTTATCAGTAGAGCATGTTTTATGATCATTAAATAGTCGAAGAAAAATGCTCCTTCAATAAATAAAAAAAAAGAAAAAGAGTTCATTTATTTGAGATGATGATACGAGTAACAAATTGGGCTTCCAAATTAGATTTATTAAAACCATATTAACTCCAGTCCTAATAACGACATCGACCTTGCCCGAGTCACGCGCCCGGCACACAACCACGAGCTACCGTTGCGTCGCATTTCTTTCCATTATTTCTCTTTCTAGTTCTTACCTGTTTTCGGTACCTGAACGGCTACCTGCCTTTGGGATGGACGCTGCCAGGAGTGGGTCCCGTGATGGGCGGGCAGATGCCATGGCGGTAACCGCCACCCGGTGGCGAAAGTGTTTTCTTGTTCTCCGTCTTTTATTTATTTCCGTTTCTTTTAATAATTCACTTTTTAAAGATGCCAAAAGGCGGCAAGCTGACAACGGACACGTCCTCTGCCCCATTCAACGAATCCTTCGCTCTCCCCCCTCCTCCCCAAAAGAAAGAAAATGGAGGAAGAAAGAAAAGGAACCCGTTCCGATCCTCTCACCTGCGGTCCTTTTAACGCGGGGGAGGTCACTTGCTCTCCGTTGTCTCTTTCAGAGAGGGAAGCGAAGGTCTCGTGTCATGGGGTGCGCGCAGTCGAGGGTGAACAACGACGAGGCGGTGACGCGATGCAAGGAGCGGCGGCAGTGGATGAAGGCGGCGGTGGTCGCGCGAAACGCCTTTGCCGCTGCCCACTCCGCCTACGCCGCCTCTCTCAAGGACACGGGTGCCGCCCTCAGCGAGTTCGGCCAGGTTGCAGGCCATGATTCCGTCCACTCTTCTTCCTCCTCCTCCACCGGCGGCGGCACTTCCGCCACCGGCGCCCCCGTCTTCGCCGCTCCTGTCCAGCCGCCCACCGAGACCCTCTTACCGCCCCCGCCGCCGCTCCCAGAGTTCTCTCCCTCCCCTCTCCATCGCTCCATAAGCATGCCCGATCTCCCCAAGAAGTTTCCCTCCAAGATTCATAAAGCCGCCCCCATCCTCGAGGAGGACAACGAGGGGGATGACGAGGCGGAGGAGGAGAACGACGGCGGCCTTAACCGCCGCCGCCGGCCCTCCGAAGCCGCCGGGGGCTCCCCTTCTCTCTCACCCTCCCCCGCCTCGCCGCCGCCACCCTCACTTCAACCAACGTCGCAGCCCGAGGCTTGGGGTCTTACGGACGAAAACGTGCCGGTTCCATCGCTAACCCAAGCGGGCGGGATCCGGCCTGAGAGAGAGGAATCCCCGGAAAAGAAGACGGTGCCAGCCGCACCGCCCAGCAGCATCGATCTCATGAAGGTGCTTACAGATCTTGATGATCTTTTCCTCAGGGCGTCAGAGAGTACACATGAAGTTTCAAAGGTGCTTGAGGCGACCAGAATGCATTACCACTCTAATTTTGTGGATAGCCGAGGTACTATAGTTCTTTTTGTTATCTTTAACAAGAGTTGATTTGTTATCTTTATTTCGTAGTTTTGATAATATTGTAGAACTGTGGGTTATTATTGTCGCGCTCTCAAACCCTTACTTAAGAATAGTAGTACACTTATCAAGACTTTGTCAACCAATTCAAGTTTTCACCCATATTCAATGTGGAACCTAACTTGGGAGTGTTACAATTATCCATTGGCTATTTCCTTTCTTTGCTTATAGCTTGTATTGTATGAATTGATTTAATTCGGCTATAAGTAGTCTGTAGATTGCGCAGAGAGGGCCTCACTAAAGTAAGTTATCTGTTCATTTCTCTTGCATCAGCCTCGCTTCTATGTGGGACTGGATGCATCATTTCTATATGAAACCAATGATTATAATATTCATTGTGCTCCACATTTCTTGTGGTTCATAAGGATTCCGTTTTGGCTTTCTTATTACACAATTTTTCTAGAATTAGAAGGATTTATGCATATTATTTTCTTGCAAGTATTCTTTTTCTGCAAATAAACAATAGAAATCTGGAAAATATCCAGAAAATAAAGTATTGGAAAGAGAAGTCAGAATTCTCTCTCTCTCTTTTTTTTTCATAGAGTTGAACTTTAACTATGAGGGCAAATACAAGGTCTAACCTAGTGCAAGATGGATCTATGAGACTTTGAATTCTTCAACAATCCTCAAGATTTCAGTGATGTACTCCTTCAAGGGAGAGTTTTCAATGCTGTTCCATGATATTTCAGTATATTTTCTGCATTTCTGATGAAATCTTTAAACTGAAAATGATGCACCTTGCTTTAAAGTCCTGTGATCAACAAGAAATAGAAGGAATATACGAACAAAAATGTGATTAGGATTTTTGGCTTCCGATCTAATTTCTGCGGTTCACGGTGTATAGAAGTATGGATTTCCATCCAAAGATTTAAGAATATGCACCATGGTGTAAATATGCTTGATGGAGTTGCATTGGCTAAGGCTAGGTGATGGTGTACTGATGAAGTCTGATGGTTTTTGGTGTTGTAGGAATTATAGAGGATAGAGGACTCAGGATTTGTGTGAAGATTGTCTTAAAATTAAGCCAGCAGAAACAACATTCATCAGATGTATATGATCCATGTAGTATTTGCATTGTAGTTAAGCAGATATAGGACAAAAGATCAGAAGGGGATTTCGGTTTGTGGAATTAACTTTACACAACCACAAATTAATATGCTTAATGGAATTGCACTGAACGTGATGGTGAGAAATGCTGAAGGCTGCTGGTTTTAGTGATGCTGAGAACTCAGACCACCACCCCCCCCCCACACCAAACTGGGGTGAAAAGAGTCCAATGATACTCTGGAGGAAAAGGCTAGAAGTGCTGGGGCACAGTATACTGAAGAAGAGAGGTAGTCCGTACTCCGTAGTCCAAATGTACTCAGGATGAACTCTAGTCCCTCTACTATTATGCTAGATTATGGATACATATGCTACCTTTGAAACAGAAAAACCTCCCTGGTTTCTTCTCTTATCTTTAGTCCCCTTCAAAAGTTTGTCATGTTACCAATGTGTTTTTTTGCTATTAATACTTCACTTAACCTATCTTGGACTTATTTTATAGGTCATGTCGATCATTCTGTGAGGGTCATGCGTGTTATTACATGGCATAGGTCATTTGAAGTTACTCCTGGTGCAGATGGCAGTAAGGGTGATTTCATCGATGATGAATGGGAAACTCATGCAACTGTGTTGGATAAGATCCTAGCATGGGAAAAAAGATTATATGATGAAGTTAAGGTAAATGTCACATTCTCATTGAACTTCATCAAGCTCATAAAACACATTTAAGTTTGTTTTCTCATCATTTTTGATGGCTGGTTCAACTAATTAATTCCCTGTGCATTTTTGTGTGGCCACACTTTGTGATTCTGGGTGCTTTGGTTGATGCAGTTTCTTGCTTTCATAATTTATTTCCTCCTTCGCCTCAGGCTAACTATACTTTAAGAGACATTACTTCCTTTTGTTTTGCTATAAATTTTTCAGGCTAAAATGAAATAATCCTTAATGTTACTATGGAAAACATCAAACATAGGTGTTAGTGTTGTGTTGCAGTATGACTTTTCTGGACTTGATGTATTATGGATACTAACAAAATTGGGAAGTTTGTATGTCTATTTATGGATTTGAGGGAAAACATAGCCCTATCTAACAACAGACGTCTAATCATTGGTGACCAGAGAGTCTTGGATCTGGTTGTCTATTAAACAAAGTCTGTAACTAATAACCATTACAGAGTTCAAACAAGTTGTTCTGGTTTCCATTCCATATAAGTTTGACCTGTCAATATTTTACTTGGAAATTTTTTTTGTGGTTATCTGATTGCTTATTGTCTTTTTGGGCTCTTACAAACTCAGAATCTAATTTTAATATTGTTCACGGAGGCAGGCAGGTAGGCTTACGAAAATTGAGTATCATAGGAAGGTTGCTTTACTGAACAGGCAAAAGAAGGGTGGTGCTAGTGGTGAATCACTGCAAAGAACTAAAGCAGCTGTGAGCCATTTGCACACTAAATACGTTGTTGATATGCAGTCAATGGATTCAACTGTGGCAGAAATCCAACGTCTGCGTGATAAACGGCTTTATCCGAAACTAGTGGAACTCGTTGAAGGGTAAGTTTGTTAAAAGTTTCCAGAAAGTATTATTATTTTGTAGGTATTCTGCATTCACAGTATTTTTTTTTTTTTATTCTTGTTCTGATGATGCTTAAACTATTGTCTTCTTGCAATACCATTTGCATCCGCATTTTGGTTGGGTTTTGGTCTCGCACTAATTTCATATACATTGAAGTGACCAGACTAATTAGCTACTGGATGGGATCGTCAATGTAACATCAGATTTTGTAATGTGATTGATATTGCTAAACAGATGTGAACCAATTTCATTTTATGGGCTTTTGTTTTGAGAACTGGTTCCTTGAAGCATGAATGTAACATCAAAGGATGAAGTAACAACTCTGGATAGAAAAAAAGTGCACCATGCTGAAAGATTAAAGGTTGCTAGACACGATACGTTAGGCAATGTTGTCATTGTATTCATTTTCTTTCCTTTTTTTTTTTTTGGTTGCTTTGGAATGCAAATCATCTATCTAATAGTTCTTTGGTTGTTGTCAGGATGGCCAAAATGTGGCAGGCCATGCACATGCATCACTATTCCCAGCTGAAGATGATGGAAGGTATCAAAGCTCTCGACATTTCAAATGCTTCCAAGGAGACAAGTGAACATCATCACAAGCGCACTTTGCAGCTACTCGACACTGTCAGGGAGTGGCAATCGCAGTTGCATAAACTTGTTACCCATCAGAAACAGTATGTGGGTGCTCTTGATAGTTGGTTGAAGTTGAATCTTATTCCAATCGACGGCAGCTTGAAAGAGAAAGTGTCATCTCCGCAAAGGCCAGCTCATGCCCCGATTCAGACTCTTGTGCATGCATGGCATGAGTATCTTGAGAAGCAGCTCCCTGAGGAGCTTGCAAACACTGCTCTCCTCAGCTTTTCAGCGGTCTTAAACACGATAGAGGCAGTGCAACAGGAAGAGCTGAAGCAGAAAGAGAGATGCGGGGAGATCCAAAAGGCGTATCTGCGAAAGAAACGGGCTTTTGAGGACTGGTGCCAAAAGCATTCGCAGAAGAGGATGGGCGAGCCGGAGACTGGTGGGGAGGCAGCAAGTCAAAATGACCCCGTGGGAGAAAGGAGGCGTGTGGTGGAGTCTCTCAAAAGCAAGCTTGATGAAGGAGTAGAAGCCCACAAAGGGATATGCAAGCAGGTGAGAGAGAAGTCATCGGTTACTCTCAAGACGCACTTGCCAGAGCTTTTCCGTGCTGTGTCGGACTTTGCTGAACTCTGTTCTAAGATGTATACCAGTTTAAAGTTGGTCACGGATCAGAATCCGCTGACCAAAGCTACTTAAGAATACGCAAAAGCTACTTAAGAAGAAAATGCCTACGGTGCTTTAATGTTACCTATACACTCTGATGATCAAGTGCGGATGATCATGGAACCAGTCAAATACGAAGCAACGAAATGGCTTCAAGTCCACGATGACAATTTTACAGGACATCCACAAAATATGAACAAAATTAAAAAAAAAGGAAACGAAACGAAACTGTGGCACCACTGCCTGCCGTTTCACTATCTAACTTGAAGAACAAAGACTAATTAGTTTACAAGCTCTTGAATCGTAACTCCCCGCTAGTCTAGCTAGCACGAAACTCCACCTTTTAGTATCTCCCAGCCGTCATCCACAGATGCTCCATGAATGTCGTTGCGGTTTTCAGGCTGCTGTACCTCGTGTTGCTCATTCCCAGTGATTGCAGGCGTCATGGTAAAATCTTCATGCTGAAGCACCTCTTCTGATGAATGTCTGGTCCTACAAGGGTAGGACGAGCTTGATGAAGCCACTAAGCTAGAAGTCATCGAACAAAAAGATCTACCCAACGGTACACGGCCATCAACTCTTTCTTTTAGCGACATAACATCCTCGCAGATGATAGCAATCTCGCCTCTGAAATAGAAGATAAAATGTATTAAAATGAAACACTTTGGTCATGCAACCAAGAAATTTACAAGTAATCCAAGAATCATGGATGAACATAAACAACAAATAAAGAAATCAGATTTTTACAACCACGATTTCAAGCTTATGCAAACACACTCTCGTGAAAATATAATAAAACGTAAAAAATCAGTGTTGCTTTGAATATATTAATGTGCAAGTGAATCAACAACTGAAACCAAATGGCAACATCCAAACTTACTGGAGTGCATCAACTATGCTGCCACGGTCCATCAAGAACTCCCTCAACTGTAGAAAATTAAAGACAAAAAATATAGTCAGCTGATTCATTTAATAAATAATGCATCGCTTTGCAAAATTGATCCATTTCATCCATTCAAAACAAAAAAATTCATAACCTTGGAGTTAGCTCCTGCTTCTTCTTGCAGCTTCTTTGACTCTTCCACTATGGAAGCCACAGTGGCTTCTTGTTCGCTAAGAGACTTGCGAGCTAGTTCTTCCTTCTTGAGCTTTTCTTGTTCAGCTGCTACAATTTCCTCCTCCACAGCAGCTATGCGTGCTTCAAGGGCTTGGTGAATCTAGAAAATTTTCACAAGTACATGTCACATTTAAAGCGTGCTTTTACTCTGAAAGGCTTGGATTCCACACAATACACAAATCCATTTAGCAGAAGAATATGCAGATAATTTGCAAAGAGAATACAAAACAATTGACAACTATTGAGGACAATTATAATCTGCATACGAAAACTGAAACTGAGTGAGAAGAAGAAAAGAATGATAATATCATGTGAATAATGCTATAGAAGAAAATTGAAATTCACATAGAATAGAATAAAACATCATAAAATGCAAGAAAATAATGTCATCAAGAAGTAATAGTAAACACTAATATCAGGATTATTGTATCATTAACCAAACTAAAGAGAGAGCACGACTTTAAAAACTCAAAAAATACAAAAAAAAAACTATATTTGAGAATGAATATCAAAGAACATGTGTACTGAAATATTGGCTAAAGGACAATTAATAAATTAATTGCAGTTATGAGTTCTATCTAATATGATAATAAACAGTGCAAGACACTTAGAATGTTAAGGATCTAAACACTTTTTGACACCCAAGTCGCAAGGCATCAAGGCACATCCTCATCATTAAAAATTATGTTGCAAAACAATAATTATATTATTGTAATCTTTATGTTATTCTAGACAAACAGTGAACATAAATTAGACTTGTTTGAATATTGCTATGCAGCATTTTCCATTTTCTTGTAAATGTTTACAAGCATAGGCCAAAACAACCTATGTAACTAGCATGGGGGAAGTAGTTCAGTCAGTCTCAAACAAAAAATAACACCTAGTTTAGGTGTCCCAAAAAAACCCTGTAGATTAACCGATAAGTTAAAATAAAATAGTTAATATTAAAGATGCAAAAAGACTATTACAAAAGACAAGAATTTATTTAAAATGATAAAGGGACTACTCTTCCCTAAATAAATCTAAGCGAAGAGGTAGTTGGGCAGTGAGTTGCGATAGTTTATGCTTCTAAATTTTTAAAAATAAAGCCAACAATATCATGAAAACATGCATGCTCATATAAGAACGGTAGCAAGAGTAAGCATGTGCTTTGTCTATATCCAGAAACAAAGTGTCAGAATTGCACCTCATCAATCAGCGACAGCGATTTCTCTCTTTCATCTGACAAACTGTGGAGTCTGGACTGGAGCTCTCGAGCTTCCGTTGCCAATATAGCCTTCTCACCATAAACCTCACCAGCATGCTGTAAATATTAAAAAAGAAGTTTCAGCCGTCCTCCTCCAGCAATAAATGTTAAAAACAAGTGGATAAGAATATGAAAATTACCATGTCATTTGCTTCCTTTGTGTCTTTTAATATCTTCTTGAGTTCTTCCACCTTGGTAAGAGTATCTAGACCAGCACAGGAAGATTCTTCTTGGGCCTTCTTGTTTCTTTCCTTCAGATGTTCCAGCTCTTTCATCCTCTCAGTTATCAATTCCATGGCAGATAACATTTTTTTCTGCAACAACAATTAGGAACTAAGTGAAGCCAAACAGAAAATATTATACCAGAAAAAGGAATATTTTGTACTGTTATAATTTCACATAAACCTAGAAATATTATATAGCATAAAATGATACTGAAAAGATTGCAGTGGAAAAGAAAGAATGCAAAAGATCTCAACAGAACTTTAAATTCAAGTCAACGAGAGGAACTATGGTAGCTAGGGAACTTGGATTCCCACCCCCGATTGTCTGTAAATTATGACATAAAATGACAGGTCAAAAAAAATCCATACTCGACAAAGAAAGTTACAAAGCCTCCTAACCATCAAAGAAAGATGAAAATGGCATATGGCTCATGGCATATTGAACTTTTCCTTCATGAGAAGTTAAAGATATTAAAGTAATTAATAAGTCTTCAAGGCCTGTGCATTGAACAGTGCCCAAGCTTTGCGATAAGTAACAGTTGCAAGCTTAATTCAAGAAGAACCCATTAAAGCACTGGATGCCCATGATTATAACAACCTAGATAAAATTTTACTATGACTACATGCTAGAGTTCACACAATGGTTCATAAAGTGTCCTCTGTTGTCAAACAATATTGAATGAACAGAAGAATATAAACAACAGAAGATTTACCTTGTTGCTTTTAGCATCAGAAATAAGATCTTCAAGATAATCAATGTTAACAAAGTGGCCTGATCGGGCCAGCAGAGTTGCAGTCAGATTATCATCATTAGCAGAAAGAATTCCTCTCTCAAAAGATAAATCGACAATACTCTCATCTACCAACTTAGAGTGCAGTTCTTCACATTCAGCAGTAGTGGTTGTAACCTGATTGATGCCACACCCCCAAGAACCCGCAGCTTCACCAAAATCTTTAAAATCTTCACCTGATATAGCACCAGCTGAAACAGTATTAGCTTCTAACTCATAGACACACTGAGCAATGGCAGGCTGAAACGACCATCCTGATTGTTCCTCAGAACCATATATGGAGAAGCTCCCATCCTTCATTATCATCTTGTTCCCCAAGTCATCAGAATTCCTTTCAAATGGTTCCACTGAAGCATTCTGAACATCACAGCCAACAACTGAAGCAACTGCTGATGAATCTATTTGAGCACTATCATGCAACTCATTAATTACATTTTCTGATTCTCCAATAAATGATTGCACGTCGTTTTGCCCCAAAGGACGATCATCATGTGTTGAACCAGGACTTACTAGGCCAACGTTAACCTGACTGCTCGTATTACAAGGAGCAAAATCCACAAGCTCGTCATGCACATGTGACTTACCATGAACTGAGATATTTTCTATATCGGAGATTAGATCAATTCCCCTCTCCATAAAATTTGGCTCCAAATCAGTTTGAGTTGTGTTCAGCTCCTTAAAAAAATTATAGTGTGATGTTGGACACTCCAACCCCTTTGAATAATCCACAATTCCAACCTCTAAGTCTCTGGGATCTGCTTCGCCAATGCATGTTGACATCACATGAGAACTTGTATAACCATTAGAAACTGTAGTTTCACATGCAACTGGCTCTTGTCCTAAATTATATCTTCTCCCTTCCTCCACTTCTTGTAGGCCAAACAACATAGGCTGTTTATCCTTCCCAACTGCAAAATCCAAACATGATGCAACTTTAGGCAAACAATAAAAAATTCTCAAAGTACATGATACACCACATTATCACACCATTGGCCCAACAATTTTTCCCAGCATCAGCACCAATATATATGCATTCGAGTAGCAAATGGAACAAAAGCAAACTACCAGCAATTAGAACACAATATGGATCTACTACTGGTATTAGGCATATAACTAGTAAAGCACATAAGAAATTGTCTCTAGAGCCAAAACATTCAACCACAGGTCAAAAGCAACCTGACCTGCGGATGAGGGATGCTTCATTGCATCTTTATCTTGCAAGGTACATGATGCTTCACAGGATCCAGTTATAGATGGCAACACTTCTAAGAGAATAGATTCAGCTGCAGTGTCAACATCATTAGCATGTTCAATAGCAACAGCCTTCAGTATGCGGAAATCAACCTGCAAAGACAAGAACAAAAACCATCATCATATGCACATGTTTCCAAAAAAATAAATCACCATCCAGAAACTGTAAATAATTCCAAAACGAGCTTCAGTTCCATCCACGATACATATCGATCATTGATTAGTGAGAACCAAAATATATTCTACAAGATACAAATAAGATATTTACTATCTCGATGAAGGCTTTTCTTGCAACTGTAAACTTAATGATATATTGTAAGACCCAAATTAAGTAATTTAAGACCGCAGGATCATATTCATGCAAACATCAACAACTATATACAAGCATATATATTAGCACACATACAACTTGCAGAAAAATAAGGATTTCCAGAAACTATTACAGTTTAGTTGATTTTGTAACTCCTTATCAACCAAACTTAAGCCAATGTGTAGATCTTTCAAAAAAAGACTAAAACTAGCTTCTGGCTTTTGTTTGAATCCATATCACCAAATATGCTTAGCTTATTCCTAGAAAAATAAACCATTAGGAAATGAAAAAAAAGGCTCCACCTTCAAAAACTTCAACAAAGCACTTTCTATAAATTAAATCTGTAAAAGCAGAAGAATGCCAAGCACACACAAACGTTCACATGCAAAAAGAAAATTACAAAAGTTCATGCACATAAACACATGTATGTCCACATACACACCTTTGCACTCACATAAACATATCAAAATGCATACACAATGATGCACTTAAACTGAAAATTCCTCTTTCATCTTTAGCTTCCTCCTCCTGATATTCTTAACTTAAACTGTTCGCCTTTTCTTAGTGACCACATATGTACAAGCATGCATATTAACACACATACAACTTGCAGAAAAATAAAGATTTCCAGAAAGCATAGCAGTTTAGTTGATTTTGTCACTCCTTATCAACCAAACTCAAGCAAATGCATAGATCTTTCAAAATGATGCTAAAACTAGCTTCTAGCTTTTCTTTGAATCCATATCACCAAATATAATATGCTCATTCCTAGAAAAATGAACCATTAGGAAATGAAAAAAAAAAAGTTTCACCTACACAAACTTCAATAAAGCACTTTCTATAAATTAATTTTGTAAAAGCAGAAGGATGACAAACACACATAAACGTTCACATGCAAAAAGAAAATCACAAAAGTTCATGAACATAAACAGATATGGATATCCGCATACACACCTTTGGACTCGCATAAACATATCAAAATTCATACACGATGGTGAGCTCAAACTGTTTAATTCCTCTTTCGTCTGTAGTTTCCTCTTCCTGATATCTTTAACTTAAAACTGTTTTCCTTTTACTTATGACATACTTAAACATCTGCTTTCAAGTGTGAAGATCACCTAAGTCTATTATTCCTAAACTTATTTCTATGCACCCATAACTTCTCAGATGAGCCAACTCCAAAGACAAGCCTTGATTCAACCAGTCTATGATATGAGACTGTTGAGGTGGACGAGTGTAGTTACAAGAAAGTTAGGAAAGGAAATATTTTCATTTGTGAACAATTGGGCATAGCTCTAATGGAATATAAACAAGAAAGAATCATTTAAAAATGATGCCAACAGGTGCTAAAAGCCCTATGAATGTTGTTGTTAGAAGAGGTGAGACAATTATGAGTGGTATGAGAACATGTAGAAAGAGGCCAAAGAGGAAAAGTTGAATTATATAAGTAAATATTTAAATACTTTAAATTAAATAAGATTATTAATTTTTTTAATGAAGCTCAATGGTGACAAAAGATCCACATAGCCAGTGCCAAACAATCGGGACATTACAAGTTGTTCTTCTTGTTGTTCTTGTAAGCAGAGTCAACCAATATCAATAGAAATATGACAAGTTGTTGATTAATAAATTGGCCTTATCCTATAATTCTAATAAAGGTTACCATGGTTGATTGGCATTGCTTACAATGCTACAATGGTCCAATATCAGCACCTCAGCTATCTGACTGAATACCTAGGGAACTTGTCTCTCTTGGAGTTTTGCCAAAGGATTTGAGTGAGGTCCTACAAGTGGATATTATTAAAGGCTTTCTCTAGACAGCTACACTACTGCTAGAAGTATATACTATTTAAAGGAAGACGGATACAAAAAGTTAATAATTTTGTCTACAATTCTATGTTTCTAAAAAAGAAAAGTAAGAACTACTATAGACTGATAAAACATCATATATGAACAACCACTGACATGTACTAATCTTATTGTGTTAACATGTTTTTTTTTTTACAGGCTACTTCTGGACTTTATAAAAATTCAACCATTAATATTATTTTGTTTGGAAATTAATTTGTTTACTAAATATAACATTCTGACTTATCAAATGTCAAAATTAACTTAGAATTTTCAATTAACTGCAACACTAACATAGAAAATTCCTTTATTGTTTGCATTATGATGTTCATTAATAAATTTGCTGGATTCACATTGATAAATGCAGTGCATACATTCATCCTCCACATATCATGCATTGGCGTTGGGTATGCCCTTCTTTTATTAATAAATACAAACAATAAACATAAAAATTCATGATAATTACTGCATAAAATTTTTAATTAATAGTTGCATCAATTTTTAGATTTTCTTATTACAAGAAGCACCTGCATATCTGCCTACATGATGGGCCATCGCCAGTACGGTTTGTCATTCTTGACAACCACTAACTACGCCTACGCTGCATAAACATCATATCCAACCGAAAATCCAAAAGGGGAAGAAGGCATATCACAGGGTTAACAGCCACCACACTGGTTAGCCTGAATAACCGTGAAAGAAGTATAACCAATGCAAGCCCTCAAGATTTGCAGTTTAATATTCTTGTTTTACAATACAAGGTTTTCCAATCTTCGTTTATTAGTAAATGAATGTTTTAGAAAAAGATAAAAAAGTAACAAACCTTAGTTATTCTACAAAGATAATAGAGATTTTAGGGCCAAAAGAAAGTTCCAAGAACCAATAAACATAAGAAAACCGAGGAAGAAATCAGTCCCACAAGATTTAAGAGAGCAAACCGAGAGGAATACTTTTTACCTGCGGGAAGATTTCTTGAAGAGAAGCGTAAACCTCCTTGTAACCCATGCTATCATTCGATCATATATAACCCTGCCGAAAGCAAAACTGTCATGAAGACCTCAATCTTGATTTCCGTTTCCGTTACAATCAACGAATTGGATACAGAAGAAACAGAAAGGCAAAAGAAACGGGAGATCGGGAAAGCAGAAAGGAAAAGAAAACAAGATCCCGCGACATCAATCAACTGGTCGATCAAGATACACCGATTAGGAACACTACCCTGCAAAGGAAGCGAAGGCGAGAGCGAGGGGAGTGAGAAGAACGAACCGATCGCCCGGATAAGGAACGAGGACGGGAAAGCCAAGTGGGTGAACCGATCGATCGGCTGCGTAGCTTCGATGGAAAACCCCCCAAGAAGGACGAGGCGAAGAGTCCGTAGCGCACAGGAGGGAAGCGCTCTCCCGGCGAATCGACGAGAGGAGCAATAACAAGAAGACGAAAAGGCGAACAGAAACGGAGATGAAATGTAATAATGCGGATTCTTAATCTCGAAGCAAGGCCGAAACGAAACCATTTACCACGCAGCATTACTTTTGCCGCCTGCCTTGCCCTTGGTGACCGTCCTTCCAGCCACCCGTCTCGTGAATGGACGCAGCCGTGGCCGAACAGGTGGGTCCCATCTTTACACAGGCCGGTATCGCGAGGGGTCTACGTGTTCTATCGAGGAGGTCGAGGGGATCCATGGGGCCCACCCGACGAGAGAGTTGTTGGGGCCGATCGCTGGGCACGTGTTGTCCGGCTGTGATCACCACCAAGGCATATGCAGTTCGTGTATCCACGTGAACGCATACGAATCCACGTGAGGAAAGTACACGTGGCGTAGAATCTCACCGTAGGATGTGGCATGCGATAACAGGATCGACTCGTACAATTATTCCTAGCCTCTACACGAGTCACTAAATTTAATGCAGAATACATTATCGAAACAATGCATTCACATCATGTCACCTGTGGGAGTTATGGAAATATATTTTTATGAATAATAATAATAATAATAATAATAATAATAAGAAATGAGAGGCTCTAACTTCAATAGTGCTTCGATTGTGATGGATTAGCCACTCACGGAAGTGAGAGATATATGTGAATGGAAGCAACCCGTCTAGAGCCGACCAGGAGCAGTGAATATATGACTTACCTTTGATACGCCTTATTTTGTTCTGCCAAAAAAAATTGATATTGATTATAAATACAATATATATATATATATATATATTGTATAACATATATGTACGTGGTATATATGCAAATTTTTAATATGTAAAATAAGCAAAATAAATCTAATGCAACGATTAAACGAACAAAGTAACTTTAGCTTTAATCTGTTGACCCACCCAACTATCTATTGTTGTCTATACAGTGACAGGGGATATAGGAGCCCACGTGCCTCTCTCCCTTTACGTGACAAACGATATAGAAGCTATCTTTCACCCCTCGTTAAATGTAATTTCGAAAAAGATTATACGTCTGATCACATGGAGCATTAGTCCCCGGCGATAAGGTCCATTTTATATCTTAATTTCTATAAATGTATGGGATAGGATGAATGAGGTCCTCTTATCTAGTGGTGATCCATATAGTATGGGCTACGAAAACACTCCTCGAATCGTTATCCAAATATTCATACCTACTATCTAAATAGGATAAGAGAATAGGAGGTGACAACCAACAAGGCTTAGTCTTTAATCATTTGGTTCCCTCATATTTATAGAGGCTTCATGTTAACTTAATCATATGAAATATCAAATCTTCATCCAACTATCAAAACCTCTTAGATTAGTGGATTTCTATTTAATAATCTCTCATTAACTCTTATTATATCTCATCCATATGATCTAATAATTCAAGAACTTATTTGATATCCAATAAAATAGGGGCTTCGACAGATATCTCATATCTGAACCTCAACACGTCACAATACCTACCATATATGTGTGACCCTTTAGGCTCAATGTCGAGCTAGCCATGAGTCATACCTGTTAGAACTCCTTCGAATTCAGTGAATTATTATCTTCATAATAATTTACTCGACTCATCGATTGTGGATATACTAGGCCACTACGGCGCAGTCCCCAGACGATATAATAGAATTCAATCATTTAGACATATCTGTCATCAATTACCATGTACCTATAGTCTCACATCAATCTAATATCTCAGAGACCGTATACTATGCACCCATACGGTTTCTCTTTGGGTCTCGCTCTAATTGGATTCTCCCGGAGAACTCTTTATCTCTTAATCTGAATGACTTTCGCCAAGGATTTGTTTAAGCAAGAATACATAAGATATTCCTCTCATGATACCGAGAGCGGATGATCCTTTATCGACACTCAATAGCTCTCGTAAGATTGGCTGTCACACCTGATGATTAACTGTACTAGATCTAAAACTTCCAAACCTATAAATCCGATATCAAAAAATGGAGTACTTATACAGATCATTTTTAGTATCTCAAGTCTAAGAACTAGATACACCATTGGGATGACAAAATCATTGTCTGATAATGAAGTATCATCAACCATCTAGTATTCCGTGAGCGGATCAATCAGTGAACTCATTCTCTAATGAGCATTTGCGTTGTGACCCTAATGTCCCCACACGAGCAGCTATGAGACCAACTGTCTCGATCATATGGATGAGTATATAGTATACCAATCTGGTCGGTTATCTCAATGTCTCTCTCAAGTAACATATGACCAAGATTACTTAGGGTTTGTGTTTAAAGGTGAATCAGTCTCATTATTATGATCTCATCACGATCCAATTCTCATTGCACAGATCTATGAACATCATAATATATTTATGTAATAAACAATATAAAATAAAAAAAATCATAAAAATAATAAGAAAAAAAAATTCATGTCATGTCACACGTGTCATCACTCATATGATTGGCTTACAGAACACCTATGACTAACACTAATCGACCATCAACATAAATGAGCTCTCGTAGAACCATAGGAGGAAAAGAGTTATTCGCCTCCGATCATCAATCGTTAATGTATAAAGGCCAATCCCCGAGAGAGGGATGAAAAAATTCTTATTATTCCATTTCATCGTTGACTTTACTATTGAATGGATCGAGTTGGGAACTTCCTTGATACTGACCTCTTGTGTAGGAACCTCAAGACAACCAAAATCGCCTTTATCCAACGCAAAACCCTAGGCAAACAAACAACACCTCAAGATCACACCAGTCGAATTCACCTTACCCAACTCACGTCCAGAAGCACCATGTGAGTTCCTAAGATGTGCTTGGGCCTTTCCGACCTAACCTGCACTCCCCCATAAATAGTATCAAGATTGCAATATATATATATATATATATATATATATATATATATATATATATATATATAT